TGGGGTAGTTTGATTTCCTTACAGGGGTCACCATTAACCTTCTAGTTAACCTAAACCTTGTTCTTCAGTCTAGTACAGTCTACCTGCAGATCACTTCACTTTGGAATACTAAATCAACCTGCACACAAGCAGAGGTCGGAAGTAGTGAAGTACAAATACTTTGTTACTGTACTTATGTAACATTTTCTGATATCAGTACTTTACTCCACTACTTATTTTTCTGACAACTTTTTACTTTTACTTCTTACATTTTAACACAAATACCTGTGCTTTCTACTTCTTACATGTTGAACATAAACACCTGTACTTTCTACTTCTTACATGTTGAACCCAAATACCTGTACTTTCTACTTCTTACATGTTGAACACAAATACCTGTACTTTCTACTTCTTACATGTTGAACTCAAATACCTGTACTTTCTATTTCTTACATGTTGAACTCAAATACCTGTACTTTCTACTTCTCTCATTTTCCAAACAGGCTGGTTCCTTTAGTCTGAATGTGTGTTTGGTGGCGTGATCATTATTATTTAGAGTCATTGCGTGCCTATTGATTTGAACACGATCCGTGTATCCATCATTTCCTGGTGTTCTCTAAAGAAGAGGGACCAATGAAAACGTTGTCATGTTGCCGTTGGTCACCATGGAAACATTCATTAGCTAACGATGACATTATTGTTCTATTAATATAAAGGGAGGTCAGGTACTCTTTAAAACAGCTGCTAGTTATGGGTACTTTTTACTGAAGTACATTTCAAAGCCTCTTTACTTTTACTCGAGTAAAGAAGTTTAGTCAGTACTTCTACTTTTACCTACTTTTAGTATTTTTAAACAGGAATATCTGTACTTCTACTTGAGTAAAGGATGTGTGTACTTTTGCCATCTCTGGCAACAAGTCACATCGTGCAATTAACTCATCTGTCTGGTAAATAAGCCGATTGAATTTTCATTGTTTCTCACCTGGCATTCATGTGGCTTCTCCCCGGTGTGGACGAGGAAGTGTTTCTGCAGGTGAGCCAGCTGGGTGAAGCCTTTGCTGCAGGTCTGACATGTGAAGGGTCTCTCGCCACTGTGGACACGAAGGTGAACCTGAAGAGGAAATAAAAAGATTTGCTTAGACATGTGGGTATTGTAAATACATGTATATCTTGAGGAGAGCTTGCTTAGTGTGTGTGTAATGTGTTTCCTATGAAAGCCAATAAAATAACTCTGTAGCGTTGCTCGACTCACCTTGAGGTTCGACAGTTGTCCGAAGGTCTTGCTGCACACGTTGCACTCGTACTTGATTTTCCCGTTCTGCTTCGTCAGTGGGTACGGCAGCGCCTTGTATCCCGCTGACCCGGGGCCACGCTTCATTTTGGACAGGTTCATGGCCTCCTCGTCATCGCTCGAGTTGCACAGCATGGCAGAGGTAGGCTTGGTGGGCAGCCGCTCGCTGGGAGGGGATGTGCCCGCTGTCGGGGAGCCTCTGGAGGGGGCGGGTCCATGTGGGTGTCCGTGATAATGGTGCTGAAGCCCCCGTTTGTCCTTCAGATAGGCGGCAGCTGAGAAGGCACTGCTGGGCCTGGGCAGGAGGAACTCCCTGTGGGACGACATGGAGGACAGGTGGACACGATCGGGCATCAAGAAGCGCCTTCCTGCTGCGTCGGCGGGCAGGTGGGACACGTGAGGGGGCATGTAGAGGGGGTACATCCTGGGGAAGATACCTCCTACGGTAGGGACGCCTCCGCCTGGAAGAGGGTAGTGATGGGGAAGGAGGTAGCGTGAGTACGAGGCTCCTGGAGGGTAGAAGGATGAAGGGGTTGGTGGTGGGGAGTAACCAGGGTAAGAACTGAGTCCAGTGGGGTAGAAAGACCCTGTTGCCGGGCCCGAGGGGCTTCCCTGAGGACTGCTGTCTGGGCTGCTCCTCGCCGACGGGCTGGGCGTCGCCGAGGACTGATTTCCTGGCGACCGGGTAGCGGGGTAACCGTGTTTGTGTCCGAGGAAATCTTCGGGGATGTGAGTGTGGGGCCTGAGACCCGGGTAGAGAGCTCGAGGGTACAGGGGCCGCTCGGGGCTGTCGGCGCAGCGCGGGCGGGTGGGAAGAGGCCGGCTCGGCTCCCTTTTGATCGGCAAGGAAGGAGAGGAGGAAGAGGACGTGCAGTTGGTGCCTCGGAGGATGGAGAGGACGCTGTGTTCCCTCTTGGGTTGGACGGGGGTTACCGCTGCGGGGGGCGGGCTGGAGGCGTCGACCAAGCGCTCCTCACTGCTCACCTGCTGCTGCTTCACCTCCAGGAGGGACTGCTCTGGAGAGACAAGAGGAAGATAAAAGGTCAGTGGAAGTTTCACCAGATCAAGAAACAATTGTTTTCCATTTATCATTACTTTTTATTTCACAACACACAAACTGAAAGTCTTTCCAAAAAACGAGTCAGCTTGTCGAAGTAATTCATTTTAGATTCTGTTAAAATTGTGTCTAACTATTTATTTAGTTTCTTGCATAATTGTGTCTCTTGTACTGATTTATTTATATTTCTTGTTGCACTAGCTGTATTTCTTTTCATGTCTTGTGTATTTTTTATGTTGCATTTGCGCAGGTGAGATTTAGGATTGTCCTCACCAACTCTACGCTGTAGTGCACGTGACAGTAAGCCTCTGAGTCCCTGAGTGTGCCACAGGGTTAAGGAACACCATAAGTAACTCTGCGGGCCAATTAAGGTGACGGGTTTGACGAACGATCATGGGGGGCCAGGAGCGGGGGGGGTCAAAAGACAGGAAGTGATGCGTGACAGCTGCCTCTGGGCATTGTGTGTGTGTTTATATCTCAGTGTGTGTGCCTATAAAATCAAGATAAAATCAAAATGGTGGCAGACAGACAGGGCTGATGGAAGGTTTCCTGCTAACGATATCCTCCGAAAAAAAAGGCTTGGCCTCCACCTGCCCTCCACACTACACACACACACACCAACTCATCCACACCATGTCACAAGATACACACACAGAGGCGCCTTCAGACAAAGGCCTCTGTCTGATGTGTTGACTCTTACTCTTGACTCACTTTTAGAACTGATGTGATCCAACTTGGAACCAAGTACGTTGAAAACCACTTCTTCTAAAGCACAATCAAATCATTAATAATTAGCCTGCATTGCAAAGGGGCAGCCACTGTTTGAATACAAATGGGCAGCTAACACACACACACACACTTTTGATCAAGCTCCTACTCTCCTGATTTATGTGGCCGTTTGCTTTTGTTTCCAGGTCGAAGGTTAGATTAGAGAGCTTCCTCCTCACTCTCTCACACCTACTGTCTCCCCTGCATGATGAAAGAGTGGATTAGACACACACACACACACACACACACACACACACACACACACACACACACACACACACACACACACACACACACACACTCACTAGTCAGCTAGCTGCACATCTCGGCTGTTAAACGGCTGCAGACCCGGCCCTTAAAAAGCTGCTGTCTATTATCTATAAGCTCATTTACTGCCCGTTCAACTTTTTACCACAGGGTCACCCAGAGTGTGTGTGTGTGTGTGTGTGTGTGTGTGTGTGTGTGAGAGATGGAGTTAATCCTGAGTGCCAGCACTGATGAAATTAGTTTGACTCCCCCTGATTCACACACACACTCAGTCAGTGACCCTTCATCAGTAGTATAGCGGCAGTGTAAACACTGAGGCTATCACTTAGCCTTCCTCCTCCTCCTCTTCCTCCCCCCTCTTTCTCCTTTTTTAGAATACAAACAGGGCGGCCATCTTGAGATATCAATCTGTCAACACGGCCCTTCTGCCAGGAAGTTCAAGTAGTCAACAGAAGGGGGTGGGAGGCGCACATCTACCTCCATTACTCCCTCCTCTTTTAGGCAAATGGCCGACACACTCTCACACACACATGCATGTGTTTGAGATGAAAAGACATGGGTGTGAATGTGTTGGCATGCCAAGCTTATGACTGTGTGTGTGTGTGAGAGTGTTTTTATCGAGAGCGTCTTTGAACACACACACACACACACACACACACACACGGCTGACAGGTGCTTTCAAGTGCTAACACTTGAAGAACGCTAAACGCCGGCGACAAAAAGAGAGAGAGAAGAAGAGAGAGGAGAAAGTGAGACAACCCAAGTCATTTTGCTCACACACACACTAACACACACACGTCTGGTTTTGCTATGACTGCACTGGAAAGAGCAAAAACCGGTGAGAAAAACATGAAGCGGCAGACGTGACTTCGATCATCCGGCAAAAAACGCTACATTTTGAAAATAAATGCGTATTTAAAATTAATTTGAATGATTTTTTTTTTTTTTTTATATATATGTAATCTATGCTAATTTAAATCAGTAAAAAAGCTGGATAGCCTGACTATAAGAGTGACCTTCTCTTCTTCTACCTTAGTCAGAACGTTTGTGGTTTCATCTTGTTTTTACTCAGCCCGTGAGATTATTTCGGACTTTCTGTGCGGCTCAAACTCCGGTCCAACGTTCAAAAGCCCTAATTTATTTAGCTACGTAAAATAAGGATCTCTTTAGATGAACAAAGGTAAGTGTTTCTGCTGCAGGTGAACGTTCAAGTCAGTGGCAGGTCAACAGGAGCCAGTGGGGGGGCCAAATGACAGAGGCAGCTAATTAAAGGCAACATATAGTATACTGTACTGACTTTAGAGAGGGGGAGAGGATGGGGGTTTGGTAAGGGAGAG